TAGATTGAATGAGCTCGATTAGTGGAGTTGTACACTACGGGCAAGCTTATGGTGCATCTTTTGTGGCATATGAATGTTATTTCTGAGAGTGAGTGAATTCTTTCTATCTTGAGTTCCTAAGTGTTCTTAAATTTTATTGTGTGGAACTCCTCTCTTTTGTATGTGAGGGCACTTGATTCATGAAGGAAAGGTAATGTCAGTGACCTCTATGTTAGAGTAAGTGGGTGAGTTGTGAATAATGCGTGGTACTTGTGAGTCAAATCTTGAGGTGAAGATGTTACGCTTTTGTGCTTAGTCTATTTTAAATACTTTTGGTGTGATGAGTTAGGAGAATTGTTTATAAAGGTATTCTTGCCTATGCGCTCAATTTTGAGTTGCTCGAGGATGAGCAAGAGTTTAAGTGTGGGGTATTGATAAATGATGAAATGTGCATATTTTTGAGTATATTTGCATATTAATTCTTGTGTGCATCGCGGGAGATTACATGATTTTCGAAGTGAAATATACTCATTATGTGTTTCTTATGAGTAGGAACGAATTTGGATGATAAATGATCAAAAGATGACAATTCGACACAAAAAGAAGAAATTAAAGCAGTGGGAGCTCGTCTACTCTCGTGCGTGGCACGAAGTCGGACGCGAAAAAGGAGAAAAATTAAGGCACAAAACAGCGAAGCGAAGCAAAGGCACGGAGCACTTCGCGAAATGGAAGAATCTCAAAAGCTGGATCCGCGTCAAAGTTCGTGTCTAGACGCGAAGGCAAACGCGGATCCGCGTCAAAGTCCGCGTCTAGACGCGAAGGCAGACGCGGATTCCAGCTCTCCCATCCGAAGTTGGATTGAAGAATTCCGCCCCTCATCAACCCTGGGTCATATAAATACATCCTAAAACACCACTTTGAAGAAAGAGAGACACTACTTTAGTTTTAGACTACTTTTGGAGGAAGAACAAGTGTGAGAAGATCAACCCAACATTAGAGTTTTTCTATCTCTTCTATTATCTTACATTTACCTGTTATGAATAATTTAGTAGATTATTATCGTTTTGTTATGAGTAGCTAAATTCTTTGTCTAGGGTTTTGATGGAACCTATTGAAGGATGAACTTCTTGATTATGTTAATATAGTTTGCCAGTTTAATCTCTATTTGTTCAACTACGTGTTTGTTGTAGTTAATTGACAGAATCCTCAATTAGTTGTGCCTATTTAGTGTGCATAACTCGGGAGAGAGTGCATATTTAGGTAATTGTTGAACAACATCACTCCCAAAGTATAAGAGGGATCTATAACTGCGGGTTTAAATGCGGGATTAGGGATAACGAAGACTTGGGCGCAATCTAAAGTGAGCTGTAATAAACAAAGCCAGCTAGCGTATCTCGGGAGAGTGCGTGTAGTAAATTATTGTGATTACTCGGGAGAGATTTACGGTAAAAAGAGTGCTCATGATAGATAGAGATGTTTTGGTGAATCTATATGAAACATAGCCGAAAGGGATTCCATCAATAGGGGAAATCATAGGCTTAGAATCCTCTCATAACTGTTTACAACTCAAGTATAGTAGTTTTCAGCTGTTTATTTACTTTTAGTCTTAGTTATTAGTAATACCATCAACTGTTATTTACAACGTTTGGGGAGGTTGATTATAAAGAATTTAGTAAATCCAACGAAATTAATTGATAGGTTAATTTTCTGTGGATTCGACTCTGGGCATAAATACTCAGGTTATATTTACAACGTCCGCGTATCCTTTTATAAGGCATAGTTGGGCATGATCAATACAACCAATATCATCAATATTCTCAAAGCAGAGATTGGTTCACAGATAAACTATTCAAAGCAATATCAGCCAACAAACTAAGCAATGAAAGAATATGTTACTTTCCAATATAATGGTGTACCATAAGATATCTTGTAGTTTTTCTTCTATATCTGCGTTAGAAAATAAACTTATTAAAGTCAAGAATTTATTTATTTTGACACATTAATATGGGTATAAAATGTTTAATCGATGTTAATCAAAATAAGGTAGCAAATATAAATCAGTGAAGAAAATACACAAAAAAAAAAAATGACGAAAGAATTAGGTCAGCATGACAAAAGAAACATGAATTGATTGACTTGAATGATGATGTTGGAGAGTCAAATAATAATTGGTCCTATATTTATGGATTGGTTCGAGACTATGATGTCGTTATATATTATGTGGGTGACTCCCTTCCATAGGCAGATTTAGTATTTTTAAAAAAGAGGAAAAAATTATTGAGTGGGAATCAATCCTTGTTCCTCTAGATGAATGACTCAATATTTAGTCAAGTGCTTCATTCAGCATTTGTGAAGTATAGGTGTCAATATATAATATTAGATAAATTTTAAAAAATACATATATTACATACATAATTTAATAGAGAGACCATTAGTTCACGTGCTCTATTAAATAATGTATAAATCAGCCCCTGCTCCTGTCACACTAGCAACGACTTTTTATTTTTTCATCTGAAGTTTGGTTTGAGCTCGATCAATCTGGACTTTTATTTTGGGAGTAAAACTTTCTCTATCAAATGAGATTTCCTATATAAGACTCAAACTCAAGATCATTGATTTAAAATGTAAAAGAATTTACCATTCCACTACGACCTTTGCCAGGTTGTAAACGGTCTTTTAAATTCCAAAGAAAGACAATTATGTCAAAAGAACATGAGACGGGAAAAGAGTGGGAAAAATGCATCAGTAAATATCGAAAATTAAAAGAAATAACTATGACGAAACCAATATCATGCAATTTAAGAGTTCTCCAAAAACAGACGTCAATAAATCAATAATCATGAGGTGTTGTTCCCATAACTCAAAACCTTTTTGAGATGAGAAAAAGGAAGAGAAGAATGCATCCATAAATATCCAAAATTAGAAGAACTATAACTATGACTATATCATACAATTGCTAAGAGTCTCACATGCCAGACTCAGATCCATAAATGTAAATAAATTTTAATTTTATCGCTACTAGAACTAAATATTATCCAGAAACAAATTAAAAGTCAATATTATAAGAATTTATGTTAACCAAAAAAGAGGGACAAAAAGAAAAAGAATTTATGGACTTGCGTGCATGTACGTATTCAAAGTAATTTCTGTTGTTTTTATTAGAAAGGTTTTGATTTAATCAGAAGTGATATGCTAAGGTTAACATGGTCACAACCTATAAAGTTTTATTGCGTAGATATGTATTCTGATGTAATTTCTAATTAATGGACTAAATTAAAAATGAAAGATCTATGTATAGGGTTGGGATTGATCCTAAATCAGACATGCTTGTGATATATATATATATATATATATATATATATATATATATATATATATATATATATATATATATATATATAGATATATAATCACTTGCCTTGATGAGATATAGTACCAAATGCAAGCATTTGTGGCTTGCAACTCGATCCACTAATTAATTGTAATATTGCAGCAGTGTGCAACCCAATCACACATACTACTATCGCAGTGTGCAATTCGATTCACACATAATATCATTGCAGCGTGCAATCCGATCCACACATAATATCTTTACAGCGTGCAGTTCGATCCATACATCATCAATAATCAATAATAGCTCATAATGTCTGTGGTGGCAAAATTCTCATGTTTTCACAATATTCGACTCTCCAACTCGTATCGCAACTATTTTTTTCCCATCAAATTTATGAATTCAGGTACAATTCCGAATTTAACTTAGTTTCTTGACAACGTGATTAATGATGTAACCAATATCACGCAATCTAAGAGTTTTCACATGCGAGATTGCCATATTAAAATAAGCAAAATTGTTTTTATCTCTACTAGAACTAATTAATAACCAAAAACACAAGTCAATATCCCAAAGGATATAATTAAGCTGGTGGGAATTAAAGTGAATAAATGAATGTAAACCGAACAAAGTTAAAAGAGTCCAAGGGTCTTAGTTCACTTAATTATTAGTTACATAACCAAACAGCAAACATGACTGTTCCCTCTATGATGTTTACGTCTTCCACAAATTTTATACTCATAGTATTCTGTTTGGCATTTTAGGAGTATTTCACAGCCGCAACATTTGCAAACTTTTCATACTAATAAAATATATACACGCAATTGTAATCAGCGCCTTAAATGCCCTTAAGTGGTGGCTCCTAACTCTACACATCATTTCTCTTGGTTTCTCCTGGCAACCACATTTTTAAATTACGCGTGTATCCGAATCAACTTGCTTGGACCTCGATTATCTATTATTCTTACTAGCACAAAGAGCTGGTAACAATGCTTAACGCTACTACGGTAGTTTGGAAAAATTACGTAGCGTATTTTTGTCATTTCTAAACTTTAAACCGTAATCTCTGCAGTTTCACTCACTTTATTGACCTTTAACAAACACTTTTAGATGCCTTGTAGACTTTGGCGGAATCAGAAATTCTAGCAAGGGATTCAAAGAAATGCAACATATGTGATACAAACCTACGACTTAATATAATTTTTGAGTGATCTTTTGCCATTGCACGAAAAACTTCTCTTATGTCAAGGAAATTTTACCAATTATACATGTAAAAAATATTTTTTTTATTAGGATCGAAATAATTAGGTATCATGCGGAGGCTAGTAAAGCAAACTTTGAACGACGATAAATCAAATAACAAAAGAGAAATATATCAAAAGAGACACAAACATTTAACGTGGTTCAATCAATTGACCGACCTCCATAGATGGAGAGGAGCAATCCACTATATATTTTCCTCCAAAAAAAGGACTAGACAAATATGGAAGAATAATATTTTTCTTTTCGTAGGAAAAATCAATTATGGTAAAGATGCTTGTCATTCCTTCAAAATTAGGAGAACCAAATAGAAAAACTCAATTATGGTATATATATTGCTCTTCCTACAAATAGTAGAAGAACCAAATATATTTATCGTATAATTTTGTCAATAAAAGGGACTCAATTGCACTCCTTAATTACATGTACCTCAGCCTGCCTCCTGCCAACCACATTTCCATATAAACAACTTTTACCTTTCCTATTCAAGATATTTCCCATCTATAAAACTTCCACAAATTCTTCATTATATTATTCCAACATCTTTAGCTCTTTTAATATACAAAAATACTTCAATGTCTCGTCAATGGATGAGCCTAGTAGGAGCATTATGGCTACAATCCATGGCTGGAACAAACACTAATTTCCCAGCTTATTCTACTCAAATCAAGAAACTTTTATCCATATCTCAAATTCAACTCAATAACCTAGCATTTGCTTCTGATGCTGGAAAATTACTTGGTTGGTTTTCAGGAATTGCAGCTACTTATTTACCACTTTGGCTAGTTCTTTTAATTGGTTCAACACTTGGATTTATTGGCTATGGGGTGCAATATCTTTTCCTTACAAATCATATCCATTCTTTATCATATTGGCATGTTTTTTCACTCACTTTTTTAGCTGGTAACAGTATTTGTTGGATCAACACTGTTTGTTACATTTTAGCAATACAAAATTTTCCATTAGATCGTCAAGTTGCAGTTGGATTATCAACAAGTTACTTAAGTTTAAGTGCCAAGATTATTACAGATATAGTCAATGTTATTAATTTTTCATCTCCAAGTGAAAGAGCTAAGGTTTATCTTCTTTTAAACTCGGTTTTACCCCTCTTTGTTTCAATTGTTACTGCACCAGTAATTCGTGAGACAAAAGTTGAAAAATCAAGAAAATTATCAGATGGTTTTAGAGTAATGTTTATTATAACATTAGCTACAGGGGCTTATGCTGTGATTACTAGTATGGAATCTGCTATGAATAAATTATTGCCAAGATTGTTAAGTTTATTTGGAATGGGGGTATTTTTGGTACTTCCAATATTGGTACCATTGACTGAAAAAATTAAAGAACATTGGCATAGACAATGTTGGATAAGAAGAGACACAAGAATTTGTGATTTAAGTAATTTGGAGGAAGCTGAAATGAGAATATCACAAGAGGAGAATACTAATTGTGGGGTGAAAGAAGAAAATGATATTGGATTTGCTGTAATGGAGGAAATTGGAGCAAAGAAAATGCTGATGAGATTGGATTTTTGGTTATATTTCTTTGTTTATTTATTTGGTGCAACACTTGGTTTGGTTTATTTAAATAATTTGGGACAAATTGCTGATACTCGTGGATATACTGGGACTTCTGCTCTGGTTTCATTATCATCTTCTTTTGGTTTCTTTGGTCGTCTTCTTCCTTCACTCTTCGACTATCTTTTTTCCAGGTGAAAATTCTCTCTGATCTCCATGTTCTTTTATTTAAAATTATATGACGTTCGAAATTTACTGGCGTGACTAATTTAGATTTACGTCACGATATAGTGTCCATTAAGAGGAAAACGCTTCTTATCAGGAGTTTCTTAATTTTAAAGCTCGATCTTGAGATCAAGGTTGGCTGAAGGGTTAGGCAAGTAAAGCATATGCATTAATATTAGGCCCCAATTTTGAGGGGCCCTAGTTTTAGAAGGAATATGTTATGTGTTGAAATTTCCTTAAAAGATGTTTTAAGTATTTTATAGTAAAAAATTATCATTGTGAAATTAACGTGACTGTTGAAAGATGGAAAAGTCCTCCCAAGTAAAGTAGACGTACCTCTATGATTTCTTTAGTCTTGATATAACCTTTATTTTGCATTTTTTTACATTTGGACCACTAAAATAGTCACTCTAATATTGATGACTTAGACTTATGTTTCGAATTTAAAATATTAAGAAAAGTAGTACAAATAGCAGATAATACTCTAATCGATATACTTACTTACATAAAAGACTTTATTCTTTTTAAAATGCCTAACAATTGCCTCGATAGAAAGAAGTTTTTCAAAATAAAAATGAATAAAAATTTACATAAGATTAATAAGGTTTCAAGAATGATTATAGATGGGTTAGCTTATTATAAATTGAAAAATAATTACTAAAAACAGATTATAAAGAATTTTGGCCTCTAATTGTAGTTGCGCATTAGGCCCCAAGTATATCGAACTGCCCCTGTTTGAAACATTTGATTAAGAATAGAATAATTCGTCTACTATTTCATTACATTTGTTAGTTGTTGCTTTCTCTTGTTTTTAATGCAAAATTGTGACTAGAAAGAATGTAGTTGGTATATAAAATTTAAGGAGCCGCTTGTTATGGTGGAATACATGCAATATATTTATTTGTGCGTTAATGTGGGAAGCCCAAGGATAATTATCACCATTCATTCTCTTCTAGTTTTAGACCAAGTATTTTTTCATGCATTAAACACTAAAAATTTGGCACGACTATTCACTAGTCTAGTAAGCTAAAGAGGTACGTAACCAATTCATCTTTACGTGGAATAATTATCTTTATATTGTTTCTAGACGGCTTACTTATAGTTATATTTTAGGTGATTTGATAGCACAAAATTCACACTTCCCGTGTATAAAAACTTAATTCGTTCCATTATTTGTTTCAGGAGTAAATATGCAATTTCAAGACCAGCGACTATAGCACTGACACTAGCACCAATGACAGGAGCTTTCTTTTTGCTACTACACAATAGTCACGTTCCTCTCTATATTAGCACCGCTATAATTGGAATTTGTACGGGAGCCATTACTTCTATTTCTGTTGCACAAACCACTGAGCTATTTGGAACTAAGAATTTTGGTGTCAATCATAATATTGTTGTGGCAAATATTCCAATAGGTTCCTTTTTATTTGGGGACTTAGCAGCTTTGATCTACAGAAGACAAAGAAATTCAAGTGATGGAATTTGTTTAGGCATGAAATGTTTTCAGACAACATTTGTTATTTGGGGTTGTCTTTGTTTCCTAGGAACTTGTTTAGCTTTCATTCTTCATATAAGAACTCAAAAATTCTATAACCATTTACGTGGAAGAAATTAATATTATTAACTAGTAATATAGAGTTAATAACATTAGCGGTTATTATTAGACAGCAGTACAAACGGATATGTTTTTGTTACTTTGTTTAGTTGTGTGTAACATCCATGTATACCTACTAAAATTCGAATATAAGGTAAAAAAAAAATGTTTTGTTAAGGACATATTCGGTATTTTGCCGAATGAATTGTAGTGACGATTCTCATTCTGATTATTGGCGAACACACCTTTAATTTACTGAAAAGGTATCATTTAACTGACACCACTTCGCAAATATATATATATATATATATATATATATATATATATATATGCAATAAGCCAACACTGCTTAAAAATGATACAAGAAATGAAGCATTAATTAAACTAACACAATCCTAGATCCAAATATAATTACGCGCTAATTGTAACAATACGCCGATATTGCTTGTATAAAATTCTGTATACAGTCACTTATTCTGATTTGGTTGCGTAAAATAGAGAAGAGAATCTCTCTAGTGAAGGGTTAATCGACATATGATGAGCAATTGTTACAATAATACAAAAAATGTCAATTAATTTTCTTTTTTTTTCTCCCTAAGACACGAGTCATATATATATATATATATATATATATATATATATATATATATATATATATATATATATATATATATTG